TTCTCACTCTACGCTACTCCGATTGATCTGAAATTTTGTAGGAACCTATAAAATGTCATTCCCTACAACTTTTATGTTTTAATCCAAGGCCAATTCGGCCTCTAAGTAGGATATACAAAACCGGACAGAATTGAAGGGTATGAAACCCTAGTCTTCCAAATTTCCCTCCAAACCAAAAAGTGCTTGCAATTAACAATCATTTACACCTACTAGCCTCATTTTAGGCCATTTCCAATCATCATACAAGGCCACACCATCAAATTCATATATAAACAGAAAAATCACCAATAAATGGAAAATTTCACCACTTCATCCAAAATTAAGAAATAAACCACAAAATTCAACATTTTAACTACCACTAAGCACAAATGAAGCTTCATTAGGTGAAGGAGAAGGTTCATTCACTACTCACCTAGTAAAACAAGAGAGGGAGAGTTGCTTGTCACCTTAGCTTCCCCAAACACTTCACTAACACCTAATGAAGAGGTTTTATGGAGTAGAAACAAGTTTAAGTGATTGTTTTGGAAGATTTGAGCTAGATGGAAGCCAAAACTTTGAAGAGTTTTCTTTCTTCCTTTGCTAGAGAAGGCCGGCCAAGATGGAGAAGAAAAGAGTGAATTTTTGGTAATTTTTGAGATATTTTAACCAAATGGTAAGACAAGGAATAGTAGTCTTACTTAAGGACTAATCCAAGGGTGACACTTGTCACCTTCATTAATGCAAGTCATCACTTTGTTCCCTCTCACTCTAATCCATAAAGTATCCTCTAATTATCTCTTAGCACCCGATAAATTAAACCCAGTATCCGAAACTTAACCTAATCGGTCGAATTTTCCCGAACTTACCGCACTAGTGGGTCCCACGTCCGATATACATTCTTAATTTCTCAAAAACTAACCGATACTAGAAAAATAATCTAAAATCTATATTTACTCATAACAATTATCTGGAGAATTTTTCTAATAAAGAAAATGTGGAAAAAGGCGAGCGATAAATAAAACTCCACTTAAGCTTTCTAATATTGTAACACTAGAGGTTTGCTAATCCAGAGTTTGCCAACCATGTTCAAACTTGTTAACCCTCTGTAAACTATAACGAATCCTATTTTTACTTGGGCCAAAACACACACTAGAATACCGCATATAAACTATAACTCGAGCTTACGAATAATACATAAACTAGGGTTTTACATAAGCAAGATTAGGGTTTCAATCTTAGCCGAGATTAGGGTTTCGCCTTAGCCCTAAAACCTTAATTTAACCGTACAAAATAATGAATAACCCTAATATCAACTTACGAACGGACTGGGGCCTCACAAAAACTCTAACATGGATGCATGAGGCTGGGGTTCACTAATGCAACTAGACTCGATAAGGTTTAAAAAGGTCCCCAAGCCTTCAGACCTAAGGGAATGGGTCATCAATCCCAAGACCCTCGGTCGGTGGCTCGAGCGATCCCCTAGGTATTGCTATGGGCGCAGAGCACACCATCCACATACCTAGAGAAACCATTCCTAGTCCTACAAGACGGTGTGGGAAAGAGCCCACGAAAATAAAATAAAATGGGATAACAGTAAATAAACGTGCACGTATGAAGTGTTCCCTATTTTGAGGGAAGGGGTTGAGAACCAATGCGAGGCTTTAAAGGTGACACACACCCCCCCCAAATGCAATGCAAAGCGCGAGATAAAACAAGTACAACATACATCCAAACAACCAATCATACATACGTGAGTGAGGGAATAGTTTGATACGCGCGCGAGGCAAAAAGTCCTAAAATGGAAAATGCAACCCTAATATCCAAATGCTATGCATAAAAAGGGTAGAAAAAGGAAAAGAATAGCTAAATCAAATGCTTGGACCCACTTAGGAAATCCCCAGTGGAGTCGCCAACTGTCGCGCCCCACTTTTTGAGTATGTGAAAGTAGTGTGTATGTGAACGTGTGTGAAGATGAAAATAAAAGGCCGTGGGATTGTGAAATGCGACGGTTTGGCCAAACAAAGTTCAAAAAGGGTTTTTGAATGGAAAATGGAGTCGCCACTTAGTATAGAGTTAGGGTGTACCAAGTCACCCAAGAAAAAGTGATTTTTGGAAAGTAAAGCAAACAAACCCTTTTTAAAGAACTTTTAGGTCTATGTAACCAAAGAAAGGGATCGGGGGTCACATTTGATAAGGGAGAAGGCAAAGGCAAAGTCTAAGGCACTCCCTTACCCTAGCCAAAGCTAGTTGCGTGACTTAGCCCCACTTTTCCTAATTTTTCTACCCAAAATATGTGTTGCATGTTGGATGTGACTAATGGATATGAAAAAAAATGCAATCCTAAATCTAAAATGTCTCTTATGAGGCTTTTTGGTCCCAATCACATGAGTTGTGATGGCCAATAAGGAAAACTCTCATAGAGGTCACGGGTAATGCAAATGAAGACCCAAATATGAGTGCAAGTGTGAAAATGTAAGAGGAATGCAAAAGAAAATAAAAACACAAATGTAAGTGCAAGTGTGCAAATGTGAGAAAAGTGCATGTGTGCAAATGTAAGAAAATATGCATGTGTGCAAATGTAAGAAAAGTGCATGTGTGCAAATGTAAGAAAAGTGCATGTGTGCCAATTGAGAAAATAAAGGTGTTTGTGTGCAAGTGGATGAAAATATGGTATAATAGTAGTAAGTGCACGTAAGTGCAATTGGGTGCAATTTGTGAGGTAGAAAATAAATAAGTGATAGGGAAAGAAGAGAAAGTGTGTGAACATGGCATGTGGAGTAAAAAATATAAGTAGTGAGAAAATGTAGATGAAAAAAATGATATGGTAAAATGGAGGTGCATGCTCCTAGAGGAATGCATCAAGTCGGGTACGGGAATGACTTCTAACTTCATGATTTTAATTTTCCCTTTGATTAGAAGGAAGAACTAGCGTGCTAAGGGTATTTTGTAGCCACACTCGCTCGTTTCCCTTACCGAAAGGGGACTCTCAAGCAAATGTACCCTATAACTAGCATGAGGATGCAAAAACCTAAAATGAAGGGGAAAGGATTGGAGGAGCATGCCAAATGCTAGAAAACTAAGAAAAATGTATGAAATGTAGTGAAACATGCAAGTATGTACTAACGAGAGGGGACGACCTATTGGGTCTAGCATTGGACTAGTCCTTTTCTAGCGCTCTCTCACAAGCATTGGACTTGCGAGAGCTCGAGGGAAAAGACCATGGCCAGCGTTGGACTAGCCACGGTGACGCATTCATCCATCACATTCATCTACGACTATAGAAAGCAAGTAGACATGCCAATCACCTATAAACACGTAGCACATAACACTTAGCATGCTCGACTAAATGCAAAAGCCTAATAAAACAAATTAACACGTAGCAACAAAGGCAAGCAATCAAGCTAATGAACCTATTACATTTGCTAACTGAAACAAATGGGGAAGAGGAAAAATGAATAAAAATGCTCTCCGAGCCCTATCTATTACAAGCCAAGAGGTGTACACATACCCCATAAATAAATAAAAGAATGACTTAATAAAAGCGAAAGTAAATGAAATAAATGAAATGAATTAAGGAAAAGCAAGGAAAGCAAAGTAGACATGCAATTCTCACTTAGCACGTTGGATCACATAGGGGAGAGACAAAAAAGATAAAGGAAGTTATACCTCCCTTGAAATGGAGCTCTAATGGGGTGAAGTCACTTATTTATCCTCCAAAATAAAAGAGATGGTCAAGGTACCAATTTATTTGGGAAAATTAAAGAAAATAGGCAAACACAAGCTCACTTGGTCATAAAGCCCCTAAAGTCATGACTTAAGTGCAATTGAAACAAAGCATAGTAATTAATTGAAACAAACAAGCAATGAAGTTGTAGAATTAAAACTGCCAAGGACCAAATTGAGGAAATTATTCAATTGACTGGGTCATAGCAGCATGAGTTAGAAGCCAAGGGGTCAAAGTGCAATTTTGGGAATTTTTTCATGCAAGTTTCATGCAGCCACCGAAGACACTCTCTGCGACAAACATTACTAATGAAAGCTTTCTGCAATCAAACAAACTTTCGGCAGGCAATTTCGCACAGCACCTTTTGGACTAATCCCAAAAAGCATGGCTAAACTTGAATGCAGTCCTAAATAGCTAACACCTTATCTAATCAATCAAAACTCACCGACATGGAACTAACGGCTACCATAGAAATCAACAAGTCATCAACTTAAAGTGAGGTAATGTAAATTCCAGCAATCTCTCATGCAAAGGTCACAATGAAAGTTTCTGTAACCGAAAACATGCGTCTGCAACTTTAAGCTTTCAAAATGCGGACTTTATACAAGACCTCAAACAAATTCAGCAAAGACCATCCCTTAACATCACCTAAAAGCTTAACACAATCCAATCATGAACACTAAGCCATTAAAATCATATGAAGACAAATAAAGAAACGAAAAGAGGGAGTGCCGCGGCAGAGAAAACATAACCAGCTATCATATTTTGCAACATCATTTCATTTCACCAAAGTGCCAACGCAGATAGACAGCAGAAGTTTATATCAAGGAAAAGACTGGTATGCCTTGGTGACTTAGCTAAAATGGTTCCCGAACATGATGTTGAACCACATTCCAAACACAGATGAACTGGGGGCTCGTGACTCGTAAAAAATGCAACAGAAAGACACGAATAGATGGAGTGCCCCTCCAATCTACTGGGTTTGCAAAGCAAGTTTTCATTATCTATCCATGAGTGAAGTCTCTACCAAACGTCAAGCATTGGTCTCTAAGCAATGAAAACACAGCAAGGCAACCATAAAAACAGCAAATGGATCGAGCACAACAAAAGGCAGCGGGCATGGTTCAACAATCCTCGTAGATTCATCAGCCAAGATAGAGACAGAAACCCCAAACCCATTTCTTACAAAAATCATCTCAAGAACCCCTACCAAAATCAGGAATCATGAATAATCCTCAGAAAAGATAACACATTTTTCTTTTTACTACCGAAAAAGGGAAAGAAACAAACAGGTTAAATGACTCTCATTTCAAAGATTAAAGGCAAGAAAAAGGTAAGGAAGCATTACAGTGCTCCTCCAATGACGGTTGTCAGCGATGGTGGTGGATTGTAGTGTGGTGGTGGCGGTCGTTTATCCCTCTGCTCCTCAGCCTAGCCTTTTTCGAAGCCTGCTTTCCTTCCCTTTTGTTCAACCGAGCGCCTCCCTCAATCTCCCCTCTCTCTCCGTGGGTCTTGCCTAAAACCCTCAAGCTCTCCCTCAACCATGGCTTCTACAGTCCGTTACCCTTTTCCTCTCTAGCTTTTTTCTCTCAGCCGTCACCTCTCTTATCACTCTCTATCCTACTGCCGTCCTCCATTCTTGTGAAGCCCTCTGCCTTTCCCTTAGTTTTTCGGCTGGCTCTTTTTCTTCCTAGCCGCCGCAGCCGTCAACCTCTCTCTGGTTTTCTCCAACAAATCTAACCCGAAGCTTTCTTCTTTTTCCTCCAGATTCTCTAGCCCAGCCGCCAACTAGATTTCCCCTTTTGCTTCGTTTCTTTTCTGGTTTCCTCTCCAGCCTTCTTAATCAGCCCAAAACCCGCTCGCGGGTTTCCTTCTTTTTTTTCGTTGCTTTCTGTTCTGCCCTCGCCGTCCTCTTGGTCTCTCCCTTTCTTACTCTCCCTCTGCCCTCTGTCTTACCGTCACCCCCTCGCTCTCTGTTATAGCCGTTTCTATAAAACCTAGCCGTCACCCAGCCTTTTCTCTCCACTTCCAGCCGTCACCCGCAGATTCCCCCCTTGCTCGCTCAAGCCTCTTCTCAACCTCTCTTCCTCTCAGCCTTTTCTTTTTCTTTCAGCCCAAGCCCTTCCAAAACTTCCAGGTTTTTCTCTCTTCCTCTCGGTTTTCTTTTTCCTCCAGCCGCCAAGAGGTTCCCCCCTTCTCTGTCCAGCTGCGGCTGTTCCTTTTATAGGAATCCCTAAGCCCCTAAACCCTCACCTCAAAGGTGAGGATAAAGAGTTAGTTTTACCCAAAAACATGAGCCCTCCGATTTCTTCATGCTTCTGTAATGCTGCATGCGCAGCTTTTTCTCTCTTTTTTTTTGTTTTTATAACAATGAACTAAATAAACAAAGAAAAATAACAATTTAAAATAAATTCAGATAAAATGAACAAAACTATGAATAAAAGATAACAACAAAATGCTAATAATTTTTCTTCTTTTCTTTCTTTCTTTTTTTTTCAAAAAATTAATAAAAGACTAAAAGCAAATAAAAACTAACATGACAAATAAAATAATAGTAAATAAAAATACACTAAAAATTTGGTGTCTACACTCAAATCAGCTCAACTCAATCACCACAAGTAAGAATATAAAGATAGTTCTTAATCTAGGATAAAATCCATCCAAATTGTAACTCATTTCTAGCAAATAATCATCCAATACTAAAGCTGGAAAATTCTTAAGAAAGCTGGAATTTCCTCTTTTAAAGCTAAAAAGTCACAATAAGGCTACTAATCACCTCACAAGTCCAAAACTAAGCTCAAAACCAACATATTATAGTTAAACAACATAAATCAAGGCTGAAAATTGTAAAACCCTAGCTGAAATTTCACTAATCAACACCAAACCTAGAGTATCATCCATAATATTCCAAGATTCAAGTCATCTATAGCATATTTTGTAAGAATAAGAAAGAGAAAGGAAGTTGTTGAACTTATACCTTGAAAACCTCTTGAGAAGTGAAGAACCAAGCTATTTCTCCAAAGAAACTCTTCACTCTAAGCCTCCTAACTCCCTTGGTGCTAGTTTAATCGGTTTAGTTTTTGTGATTTCAAGTCAAACAAGGCAAAATCAAGATGAAGTTGGAAGTTCTCCTCTCTTGTTTTTCTCTCCAATGGTCTGGCCAACATGAAGCAAAAATGGAAGAAAACTTAGCCAAACGGAAAGATAAGAAGAAAGGAAATGTCTTGGTCAAACATCTCTTTGATTGCAAACACTTGGCAATCAAATTTCTTTTCTTGTTTTTTCTTTTCTCACCTTTTCTTTAGTCAAAATTTTCAGCTACTTTAAGGGTTAATTTAGGGAGAATTAAATGAAATAAAATCAAGGAGATTAAAGTAAGAAAATATTGGTCAAGTGGTGTATTCAACCGGTAACAAACAGTGCACGTCGGTTCAAGCCTATTTCCCTTAACTCCCTTGTACTTTTGTTTTAACTTTATGATTCACTAACTGATTATTAGCACTTCTAATCACACACTTCCTCTTATCTAATACTCACTCTTATCCACCAAATTTAGTACACATACCTTACCAAGTGATCACACGACTAAAGTGCACAAAAACCCTAATTTACTCTAACTATAAAAGTAAAAGTAAAACTTTCGATTCTCTTATTTATTACAACTAATGAGGGAGTAAATTAGTAGTAAAGGAATTATAAATTAACTTATTCAAAATAAAGGAGAATTATAAGGAAAATATAGGTGAATTTTCAAGTCCTCACACATTTTGTGCTAGCCTACATGTATAAGTAGTATGAAAACCTCCACCCAAGTCACAAATCACATGATAAGAATTAAAAACATTATCATCACTTTTTTGTTCAATCATATTTGTAATGGTGTCCTGTTGAATTTTTAACGTTATACAATCAAGTTTGGCCTTTAAGTTCCTTAAGCTATTTTCAAAAGACTTATCTTTAGACATCCTTTGATTACCTCTATTGTTGTAGTTTTGAAAGCTGTAGTCCATTGCGGAACTACCTTATCTCAAGCTTTTAATCACGTGGACCATTTGAATTTCTTGAAGCTTGCCCCGGGAGGTCACGTTGGGAGATTTATTGTTTGGACGAAATCAGCATTTGAGAAATTGGATGAGATTTACGGGTCATTTGATAAGCCTTCCTTGAAGAAGAAGGGGTATGTTTTGCCTAGGGCTAAGATGGTGAATGGTGATTTGGCCAGAATTATCAACTCTGACGAGGTGCAATCTGTGGTGAGGCCAATCAAGAAGGTGGTGAAGAGGGCACCAATGAAGAAGAACCCGCTGAAGAATTTGAATTGTCTGCTCAAGTTCAATCCTTATGCCAAGACTGCCAGGAGGATGGCTCTCTTGGCTGAGAAATAGCGTGTTGAGGCTAAGAGGGAGAAGCTAGCCAAGAAGAGGAGTCCAATGACGAAGGAGGAGACGTCTGCTGTAAAAGCTGCTGGAAAGTTGTGGTACAAAACAATGATCTCTGATAGCGATTACACTGAGTTCAAGAACTTCTCAAAGTGGTTGGGTGTGTCGCAATAATTGGTTTCACTTTAAAAGTCAGTCTGTTTTGTTTCAAGTCGACTATTTGGTAATTTAAGACGTGCAAGAGCGTAGGTTGGAGTGAGTTAAGAGGATTAAATCAGTTTTCTGTTTGTATACCAGTTGCATGGAGTTAATTTCTCAGGGTACTGAGAAACATTTTTGCATTAAAGGAGATCACCTGAACTTAAGGAGTTAATAGCTTCTTGTTCTGAGATATTCAGCCATCAACTCTATTTTCTGGTGCTTGATTATAAATGTGACTGATTTTAAACAAAAAAAATGCGCAGCAAAGGGGGTACAGGAAGTGTTGGTGGAGGTTGACTCTGCGGTTCTTGTGTCACTAGTCAAATCGTCAGCTCTGGGGGGTTGGTCGCATTGCAATTTCCTGAGACGGATTCGTCGTCTTCTGGATCAGGTGTCTATGTCATTTATCCACATCTTCTGTGAGGCAAATATTGTTGCAAATAGGTTAGCAGCTCTGCAAGGTTATCCTAGTATAGTCTTTGACTCTATTCAGCAGCAAATATTGTTCCTTTTCAAACATTTTACCCAATGAAAATGATTCAAAGCTGGTCCATTTATGAAACAAAAGTTTGAGAAACATCTAATATACATTTGGTAAGTGATTGGCACCAAAAGTTTCAAAATAACAAGTCCCAAACAAGATAGGCCATTGATCAGTCCAAAATGAGGGTTTTCAAGCAATGATGCAGGTCTGTAATTTGGCCATAATTCATTCAATTCAACTCGGAATTAAACGTGGTTGGTGGAGTTGAAAACTAAATTCATAAGGCTACAATTTCTTAGAAGGAATCATTTTAAAATTCTATCCACAACTAGCTCATATTTGAGCATCAAGTCGCAGCTCAAAACAGAGCTCCCAGTGTAGACGTGAAACAGGATAGTCATGTTCAAACAATTGGTATGGACTACTCAGGTGGAACCAGGATGTGCATTTTATATTTTTGGAAATATGGGAATGTCTAGTTTCCTGTGCCACAAACGGCACTCGATTTCGACATCAGAGCAAAAAGTTATAGGAAAAATAAAAACACTGCCAGAGCAGTTACTGGAAAATTTCCAGTTTTTGCTGACTTCCTAAAACACATCATCTGGCCAACCAAATCATGAAATTTTTTGATGAAACTTTCTACACCACCCAAAAAACATGTATACATCATAAACAAGTCATTAGAACCACATAAAATTGCTCTAAGGGCCACGGCACGTGCAGGGACAGAAATGGAAAAATTCCCTCATCGCTTCCTTTGAGTTTTCCTTCAACAATACAACCTATTTCCACTAGATTAAACACTAATCCAATATTAATAACATCAAAACTCACAAAATCATTCCATCAAGCCATAGTGGGAGTTCATAGAGCCCACTCACCAATTTTCCAACAATTTAAAGCTACCCATAAGAAATTATGAACTCATAAGAGCTAAACAACTTCCATAAGTCAAGATTTGCAAGGTTGATCGTCACTTACTTTCTTAGATGATCAAGGCAGAAATTTTGGTCCCTTGAAGCCAAAGAAAAACCGTAGAAAGCAAGCTCTTTTCCTAGCTAATGTTGTTCACCAAGTGTTTAGCAAGTTGTACGTAAAATTTGAGGTGATTTGATGAAGAAATGAAGGTGAAATAAAGAAGAAATTTTTTGGTTCTTTTCCTTACGTGATGCATTGCTGTTTTGAGGAGAAAAAAAGAGAGTTGTAGCGCCACTTGAGGTGATGAAGAGAAGGGTTTTGATCTGGTGTGATGCTCCCATGAGAAGCTTAAGAATGTGTGGCCAAAATTGCTCCAAAAGTCAACTAAGGATAGTACGCGTACGCGCGCGTTTCGTGCTCAATTCCTCTCATGTTTGTTTCACTTGTGCACTAAACCTCTAATGCACTTCTATTCATACTATTATTATTCACCCTTAATGGTCTAAAAATAATGGTCTTAAGTCCCTGAATTAATCACGCGCGTAAAAACGCGTACTTCCGATTCATGCGCGATAGAGTGAAATTTCTAATAAATTCTTATAACGATAGTAACACTTGAGCACTTAAACATAAAAATACCTATTTCAAGACTATTGTATAATTTTTCAAATCTCCAAGTCACTGTACTCTCAAATCGAATATTATCTCCAAATGCTTATTCACTAAATCTCACTAAGCGAGCTTCTGAAAATTAAATTTATTAACGAGACATTTTAAGAATATATGCAAGTCATAGTTCCATATAAATGGTTCAAAAAAAGTTGAAATAAATTATTTGGAGAAAATGGGTGAATAAATAATTAATTAAGCCATTAAAATGGAACTATAAGTGAGGAAAATTCGGGTCCTCACACTTTTAATTAAGTATCACGCTTTTAATTGTAAAGTTTTCAATGTATGTATATAAGTGTTTTATCATGTACATTAAGTGTATGCATTAGAGATGGTACCTTTGTGTTTGTTGAGATGCTACTTGTAACCACTGGATGATCGGACGAGCAAGGCATTTGAACAAGGAAAGAAAATTCTGGCGGGAACTGTTCACCAAATCCAGTCGTATCTTGGTCGGATTGTGATGTGTCCACTTTCCATTTGCATTTTTGTCTTCATTTTCCTTTCTGTTGAGGCGTTTAATTGAAGTACCATGATACCTTATGGTGTAGAACTCATGTTTCTCAACTTAGTAGTCTTAGATTGATTGTTCGATTGGGGATTCGTTTGTGCGCTATATCGGGTTTGTGTGATTCGACTCCGTAGTCCTGGCGAGAGCTGGGCAGACGGTCGGCCGAACCCTTTGGTTCGCCTTAGGGTGAGGTGGGGCCGTCACATAATACCTCACCATATGTTATAAAAATGTTATTGTGTGATTTATGGTTGAAAGGAAGTAAGAGAGGTGCTATTTTGGTGAGAAAAATTGAAGAGAGCTTGCTGGACATTTTTAGTCTGAACCATAGGATGTGAGTTGTGTTTTTAGCTTGTGGCTTCCATTTTTGTTGAGATTTTTCAAGGAGATTCATGCTTTACAGTCACCTTATGATATACAGCACAATTTATGCAAAAATCAAGAAGGAAAGTTGAGTTTTTGGTCTAAAAACAACCTGTATGTAACCTGTTTTGGGATAAAAATTTGCAGCCCTGAATTGTGCTTAAACTGTACCTCTTATTTCAAAATTTTGTTGCCATATGCCTTGTAAAAGGTTTATGTCATGTTTTGGTGTGCCAAATCTAAAAGTTAAAAGAAAAAAACTTGAATGGTAATGCTAGAATTTTCTGTTTAAAACTGAGGGGAAGAAGCTACGATTTTTCCAACTTTATCCCTAAAACTTTGGTTGTAAATTGACACATCTTGGCTCTATATACCTTCTAACACCTAAATCTAGTCATGCATGTGATATTTGAGGAGTTAAAAGCAAGAAAGATAAACTTTTAAACCATTTTCAAAGCTGGAATTTCTAGATAGCAAATCAAGAGTAAAAGCTGCAATTTCAGTTCTTGTTTTTCAGGAATTTTGTTAAATTCTGTCTAAAAGCACTTTATAAGGATCGAAGACAACCTAAGAGGGGGGTGAATTAGGTGGTTTAAAAACTAGCCAAGATATGAGTCACTTTTTGATAACTTGCCCTCTTTTTCTAAAGGACCACACAATGGAGCAATTGACACAAGTGCTTGGGAGTAGAAGAGATAGACAATTTATATTGCAAGACAGTAAGTAAAAGGATAGAATAGCAAACCAAGTTTCAAACCCCACTTGAGTTTGAATACCACTTTATATAGCAAGCTTCTTCAAGTTGATCAACTTACAACCAAACTCTTGTGTACAAAGGAAGGATCACTTTCTCCTCGCCTCAAGCCGCACTTGGTCAAGCAAGGAAGTTTTACTATCACTCAGATAACCCTCACAAATCTACACTATTGAAGAAGTAGAAACACACTTGAAAAGCTTATTGAAATTTCCACAACTAAGAGTACAAATCTTCTTTAAAGAGTATTCTCACACTTGAATCACTCAAGATCTGATGTAGTCTCAATGTACGAAAGTTGTTTGAAGTGGTTGACTTTTTCCTTTTTATAAGGGACCAAAAAATTCTTCAATTAATGCCACCAACGAATAGAAGGTAGCTGAAGAATCAACTAGCCATTGGTGGTGTCGGACGTCCGGTGTGACAGCCCCACCTCACCCTAAGGCGAACCAAAGGGTTCGGCGAACCGCCTGCCCAACTCTCACAGGGACTACGGATCGGGAACAAACGTAAACCCTACCAACCGCTCAAAGGAACTTTGAGAAGATGAAGAGTTAGAACCCAATTGAGCCGAACTAAAAGATACAATCAATCTTTGGTACAACGTTCCCATGGGAAATCAAAACGAAATGGAAGTGCCGCTGCCATGTCACAATCCGGCCGGAACCCAATCGAATACAGATAACGTTATATAACTCTAGAAAATAACATTTCCAAACCAAATAAAATGCATGAACATGATTAAACAGTTTTATATACATACGTTTGTAATTTACAAATCAAAAGGGAAATATTTGGATCAAGGTACATTTAGGGTTTTCCAACTCCCGAGGAGCTATACAAAAGAGTGTTTATACTAGCTCATTTCATTCTTCAAAACATCGAAGTTCCAAAAGATGGTTCCCTGTAAGGAAAACAAGGATAACGGAACGGGGTGAGCTAGAAGCTCAATGAGGTACCATCTTTTGAGAATTAAGGCACAAAAAAGTTAACACAATGAGGTACAAAAGAGTATTAGGGCACATATACACATCCAATAAAAGAAATGAACAAACACCACAATTTAAAGGATACAAGTGGCTCTCAGGAGCCAAATCCCA